GACCTATTAACCTTTATTAGGGTGTTGAGTTAACCTTTACTCTTTGAGTTAACCGTCTTCCTCTGACGCTAAGCTACGGCAGCCCCGCTGCATCCGAAGAGCTGTCGGTTGATAGCTCAACTGCCGCAGGTTCGCCGTCATCAGAGTCATCAGCTACGTCAACGGGCGCCGGTAGCTGTGTACGTTCGCGTGGTAAGCGGTGTGCCCGTCCACGCGGAATATCAGCAAGACACTGAAATACTGCGCCGTTAGGTTCTTGATGGCACCTACGAAAGACGCCATATTAGGGCAAGGCTTTGGGAAATGGCTGATGAGCTCCCTGCTAAACCCCTCTTAAGGTCAATAAGCTCGTTGTTAAGCCGGCAACATTTCATACGCTCACGTCGTATGTTTCCAGCCACGTCCGCAAAAATTACCCCCCCCCCCCCTTACCATGTGGCTTTAGAGTAGGAAATCCCGCCACACCGCAGCACTGGCAGATTTCACACTTCACCCACTTAATAGCACGCTTCATTAAGCAATGCTAAGCAACGTTGAGCAATGAATTAGACAATTAAGGAGATTACCATACGGAATTGTCTCTGCACGGCATCGATCAGCGCGCTCTCGAAGTCGCACACGGCATCGGCGGGCACTAGTTGCTGGTCTGTACCTTGCGCTACGAAAGGTATCATGTCCCAAAAGGCATCACCAATATGAGAGGCGCACAACCCGTAGTAAAAAGAACAAACAGCCCCGAAGTTCTGTCATTTACCGTGAATACTACGCACTGCTTGTAGCGTGGCGGTACACATAGGAATGTACCGCTAACAAAAACCGTAGATCCATTACCGCGTAGGAGGTTGACGAGGTTTGGGTGCGCCCAGCCGATAAGTCAAATATGCTTGTTAAGTTTCTCGCGGTTGATCGTGACGTAATGAACCTGAAAGAAAGAAACCGCTTCGCCAACACTAATGATAGAGGCGGGATTTCTATTGCTAAATGTACATCTTCACTGAAATGCCTGCTTCGTGCTTGATAAACACGCCGAAGCGCTTCGACAACTCGCGCACAACGTGTTCATTGTTAGCGCCTTAAAACTCATTAAGCAATGCTCCCCAGATACGTCGCGCAGGAATCACAACCTGATCGATAGGAATCATGTCTATGCTGGCCTTCATCACGCCCGTGACATCAAAAAATGCTACTGCCAGCAGCATCAACACGGCAACAGGTGTGGGGACGCCCAACCGTGTAGCCCATTGTACCGAGGACGAACGGTATTGTATCAAGCAAGCCTTGGCACCAATGCCAACAACGGTAAGATATCTTCCTCGACGATTTCCACCCCCTGGTATAGTTGAAGCCGCGAGAAAAAAAAACAAGTGGTTTTTCTCTTGGCCCACTTGGCCCCTGGGACGGCTTGACACAACGTTGGTCGGTCCGGCGCCATCTGGAGGTTCGACGTTACCCGTTAGAGACCGTGCAGTGCCTGCATGTTACCGAATGATCCCTACTTGTTAGGTGCCCCGCAGTGATCCCCGTTTCACGTGGCCTTTTTGAGGCCGTGCATTTTCAGATCTCGCACCAGATCATTGCAAAATCAACCGATGTACAGAACTTTGATCGGCACCGTATATGACCCCAACCAGGTTTTACCTCCTAGCCACCTATATGCAAACCTGCTCAGCCCCGCCTTCAAGAGCTCTCAGTGAATACTATATATACTAGTTCGACTTGTCCAAGAAGGGCACGCCAACACAACTTCAGGAACAAATCACAGAATACCAGCTTAGAAGCAACACCATAATTGGTACCAATAGTTTTGCACCATTCTGTCGTATTAAATCCATCCTACGTTTTTTTTCCAGGTAAGTGAACATCTACTTCGCTATGGCGATTGATGGATAGTTGTGAACCCCGATGGGTACACCAAATATCGGATAATTTACGAATGTTACACAACCGTTGCGAATAATTGTAGAAGGTACTTAACTGTAATTTTCTCTGCATTTTCAACCTTGAAGGATGAAATAAACATCCTAAAGGTTAGTGAGTATAACAAATCCAATAAATAGAGAGCGTGAATGTATCTATATCGAGTTGAGACAAGGCATTAATAATCAAAGGATGACAACGTATTAATAATCAGAAGGTGACAAGGATACAAAATGCAGAGAACAAGAAAACAGGTGGGTGGGTTTTTACAAGAGGATTTTTTTCTCAAGTAAAACCTAGTTATGTGCAGTTTTCCGGGATCGGTTTTTGGGGTTTCAGGCCCGAAAACTCCATTACCCAAAACACCCAACCCAACCCAGTCCAGGACAACCCTGGACGGTGAGGGGTCACGGTCTTTGATGACGTAGCAGCGCGCGGTTGCAATGGCTTTCTGGTGCTGTCGGAATTGAAGGTGAGCGCCTTGTCGGCGCTGCTGGGCGTTCAGGGGGACGAGGGTGCTATCGCGTGAGTTAAAAGTATCCAAAGTGATCAATTGCTCTTTCCGCTAAAAATAGGTGCCTTGTGTTATCTTATCAGATACCCAAAGATGCCCATTTCCTTCTACAGCGCGTCTGATTCCGCTCTTCAACTTGCTGAGAACGCTAGAGTGGCGTCCGTGCACCA